ACGCGCCCAGGCACAGGCTGCTGGTGCAGGTGCGCGACAATGGCGAGCCGCCGCTGTCGGCCAGCGTCACGCTGCACGTGCTGCTGGTGGACGGCTTCTCGCAGCCCTACCTGCCGGCGGCCGAGGCGGCGCCCGAGCGCGCGCAGCCGGCCTCGCTCACCGCGCACCTGGTGGTGGCGCTGGCCACCGTGTCGTCGCTCTTCCTGCTGTCGCTGCTGCTCTTCGTGGCGCTCAGGCTGTGCAGGAGGAGCGGGCCGGCCGCGCTGGGGGTGTGCTCGGCGGCGCCCGAGGGCCCCTTCCCTGCCCACCTGGTGGACGTCAGCGGCACGGGGACGCTGTCGCACTCCTACCAGTATGAGGTGTGCCTCACGGGGGGTTCTGGGACAGATGAGTTCAAGTTCCTCAAGCCGTTTTTCCCCAACCTCCCGCCCCCGAATGCTGCTCAACAAACAGAAGGAAGTGCTATGGTCCGAAATAGTTTTGGGTTCCATTAGCGATGATTGTGATGCTGGTTTTTTTTTGCCATTTATCCCTATGTTACCCACATATAGCATGTGAGTATCGTGAAGAAAAATTTCACCTGAAGGTATAGCTTTGATCGTCCTTTTGTTATGGATTTGTCGTTTGAATTTTATCGACACGATTTAGGAAAATTCTTTTTTTTGCTGTTTTTGGGGGCAGGGCTTGTTTTTGTCGCTTCGGCTGGAGTCCAGGGACCTGGGTATCTGCACTGTTTCACTAAGCTGTACTTGCAGCTCACTTGTACTTCTTTGTTTTCACATTGCCATCCGAAACCAATGCACGCTGTTTGTTTTCTTGAGTTTTGGTCTTCTCATTGATATTTCTTGTGGTGAGCCTTCCTAATAAAAACAAACATTATTTTCATTTTGTATTTAATTTACGCATTTTGTTTCTTCATATTTTAAGTATTAATGCTAAATTGAAAATGCAAACATTTTGTTCATTTTAAACGTTGCCGCTTCATGCCCGTGGGCCACTTACTTGTCCACCTAGTGGATGTGAGTGGGGAGTCTTTTCTTAAAATTATCAGATTTAAATTTACTTGGTAGAAAGCTCTGCAACTGGGAACTTACAAGTTTTTCAACCAATATTCCTAAATTTTGGTGAAAGACATGATAGAAACAGCAATGAAATGGCAATTTTAGGCGCCAGTTTACATTCCATTAGGAATGTACTTTTGATGACATGATAAATTGTGACATACAAGGGCAGGCCAGATAGCTCATCGGATTAAAGCACCTGCTTCGGCAAACACAGGGATGGAGTTCAATCCCTGGAATGTAATGCTGGCCCTGCTGGGCATGGTGCTTGCTCCCAGCACTTGGGAGCCTGTAAATAGGATCACTACAAAACGGATCTGTGTAGTGAGACCCTGTAGACCAAATACATTTAAAAATTGCGACATACATTAATCATCTATAAATTCCCAACTCTTTCGTTCACATGAAGAGCTTACATATTTGTAAGTGGTAATTAGCATCGTATGTATAATTATTTCAATCTATTGAACTGTTCCATTTTTAGCATTGTATTCAGCATCGCATGTAATATTTGTGCACATTGGCAGAAATATCTGTACATTATGTCTCAAGGTAGTCTAGGATTTTTTCTTTTTGGTCAAAATTTGAAGACCACAGATATGTTGAGGTTCCTGATATTTGAAATGGTTCACTGATATCTTGTTTTGATTAAGACAATTTGCCCCAAACTTTCTTATTATCAGCATGACTCTAGTGTAAATAGTGGCTTTTCAATTTTAAACATAATTGTTCATTAAATAAATTAGTAGTCTTATGAATTGTTGGAGTTTTTGTTGTACTGTTGAAAAATAGGATTTATTTGCTCAAATAAACCAGTATTTCGTCTGATGATGTTTCGTAAATCAATTTTTTTCTCAAAACTGCTACCGTTTAGCTAGACATGGTGGCACATACCTGTAATCCCAGAACTTGGGAAGTTGAGGGAGGAGGACTCCCATAAGTTCTAGTCCAGCCTGTGCTATGTAGTGAGTACAAGGTCAACCTGCACTACATGGCAAAACCTTGTCTCCAAAAAGCATCACTTATCAGGTGGCCTCATATGTGAAAAATGTAAAAAGCAGATAGACTTGTAATTATTTTTTCATACTGACTTATTTTGACATTAAATAAATCTTTATTTTTTTGGTGGAACTGGAGATTGAACTCAGGCCCTTGCACTTTCCAGGCAAGGACTTTTTCTACTGAGCCATCTCCCCCGCCCCAAAATAAATTATTCTTTTTAAAGAATAATATAATCACATTATTTAAACACTAAAGAAAAATACCATAATTATTCTGCAATTCAGAAGTAGCTTTATTAAGTAACATTCTAAAATATTCCTATATGAACTGGTTCAGGGCTTTAGTGTGAACTTTGCATGTGAGAGGTACTGGATTCAGCTCCAAACAGTACATAAAAAGGAAAATAAAATCTCCCTCTCTCTCTCTCTCTCTCTATATATATATATATATGAATAAATTAAAATAAATTAATAGATGGAAATAATTTATAAAATAGATGAACAATAAACTGATAGTTTCTAATTAAAAATATGATAAAATATGATACTAGAACTTTGTCAAACTTGACAAGTAATCCCTGTAAAGTTGAAAAACAAGATTATGGTGCGTATTAGGGACTGGGAATGTAGGTCAGTACTATTCAACCTGTAACATGGCAAAAAAAAAATTCTAGTCTGAAGCATATTAAGATATTGGCATCATTTGGCCCCCTGATACAAAAGAGCAAATAGCACTGGGGGTAGAGCTCAGTGGTGTGATGCTTGTGTCGCACTCATGAAGCTCCAAGTTTGACCAAGCACAGCCAAAAGAAGCGAATATTCTTAAACCTCCTCCCTCTTCATGGTACATATTCTTATGTTACATATGTATACACAAATAAACTTAATAATATTTATAACATTTACGGAATACTTAAAAGGATAATTCCCATAATTAAATAATTTACATCTAACAGTATTTAATTTAACCAGCTGTGATGGCCTACTCCTATAATCCTAGCACTCTGGGATTATGAAGCAGGAAGATCATGAGTTCAAGCATGGCCTGGGCAATTTAAGTAATTACAGTAGTAATTGCTTTGAACTTGATCCAATTGTTATTCAATAGTAAGCTGTTCAATATTTCATTTTTTATCTTTATTCTAATCACTATCTTTTGTCTTTACTTTCCTGGATTCTAGTAGATATTCTCTAACTCTTGTGTACTTTTGACAGAAGTTTAAACTATTGATAATAGTTTTACTTCCAAAAAGTTCACTTTTATTCTCTAAATATTTTTTTCAATATAACTCTTTTAAAAAACTAATTGTTTATTGGTCCGTTTTAAATATACATAATGATTACATTCATCATAGGAACTTTGTACCTGTACATGATATATTTTATTTTATTTTTTATTTTTTCCCATAATTTTATTGATAAACAAAGAGCAATGAGACAAGTTCAAATCAAACTGGTAGGACAGTTTCAATAATTAACACATTGCATACATTCTTCCTAGGGGTTAATTGCTGTATAAGATGCGGACATGATATCCTATTTACAAACACCGTTAGAACTAATCACTCTATTCATTAAGTGAATGTAACTATACACCTATCCTAACCACATTGAATACACAGATACAAAATGGACATTCATCTGTATACCCTTTTTTGGTTAGGTTCCGTTATTTGAATATTATAGGTGTGTAAACTCAGCAAAATATTCTAAAAGAGTCCAGTAGCCCATAATAGTATTGGGTCTTCTGCTTGATTG